CACTTCTCCACTTACTCTTGTTGCGGACAGCAATACCGAGAAGCAAATGTTGTTAAGTTGAAATAGGAGACTTTGTTAGATGGAAACGTGTGAAGTTGTTCTAAAACGCGTGTGCAATGTAGAGTAACCCCTTAATAAAGAGTAATAATTTAAATCCGCTCCTTCGTGGCTCACAGTACGTTCGTCAAGTTTGATTAGTTCACCACAAACATAATGATGAAAGGCTGAATTTAAAAGGCGAATAATCAACAAAAGGAACGTTGCTTCCGGTTGTTTTCTTTTCCTGACGTCCTTCCATCACGGCATCGATCTTCGTATATAGCCGTTTGATGATGATATACATATATATATAGACGCTTTACACACGCGCCAAATTACAGCCGCCATGGCTGACCTTCTCTTGTCTTACCGACATACCGAGCAACTGAAACGGTAGTTGACGATCTACAAAGGCCGATGCTTTAGAAAAAGACACAGTTGAATCTAAGATGGCAGTAACCTGGCCTGCTATGGTAATGATGAGGGGAAATAAACGGAATAAGAGGAAACAAAAACTGAAGGTCAGTTATGGCGGCGTCCATGCACAGCTGCTGCAAAGCGTCTATATATATATACTGTTACGAAGAAGACGACGATGACTGTCTTTATCGGGCCGCTGGCGGTGGGGCTCGCTCCAGCGCGAGCTGGAGCGGGCAGTTCGATTAAAAGATCGAGGCTGAAACGGACCGCTCCTGTCCTTGATCTTGATTTCCATCGTAACATCGTGGTGGAGGTGCGGGTCTTGGCTCTTCACCTATCCGCACGCTAATCACAACGCTTCTCCGAAGCCACCAACGGCCCCCTGCGCTGGCATGTCACAAGGTGAAGCGGCAGGCACTCCGGCACTCCGCCCTGGCTCAGTGCCCTATCGCCAACGGGACCCTCCGACGTTCGCCGGCTTCCGCACCGACGACGTTGACGACTGGCTGCGAAGCTTCGAACGAGTAAGCACCCACAACGGATGGGACGACACCCTCAAGCTCGCAAACGTGGTATTTTATCTACGAGACACAGCTAAAGTGTGGTTCGATAACTATAAAGACAAAATCTCCTCATGGGATGCCTTCAAAGCGAATCTGTCGGATGTTTTCGGATGTCCCGTTAGCCGCAAAGAAGAGAGACGCATAGACGTGCTACAAGAGCCCAGACTGCAAGCGAGTCGATTACCTCTTACACCGAAGACATCCTCGCGTTGTGCAAACGCGTTAACGCAACCATCCCCGAGTCAGAAAAGGTCGGCCATATAATGAAAGGAATCGCCTTCACCATGCTGACGTCAGGTATAAATATATATATATATATATATAACCCCTGCTGAAACAGCAGAAACCGACGGGTCCATTTCAACCTTTGGGGAGTCCGGCCTTCGTCACGAATCAAATATATATATATATATATATGAGGTTCGTTGGAACTAACCAAAGATGATAATTAGCAAGATACAAAAGTAATCTACGTGTAACGATACGTTCCAATTTTTAAACTGTAACGCGAACGCATTCCGAAAGTCGGAATGAAAAAGGTACGTGCTTTCATTCCTCTTCTTGAGGAACGTGTACAACACTGCTCAAAACCGCCCTGTTCGCCATATTACTAGTTTTCTTCTCTCAACTTTCCTCCCCCCCGCCTTTCACACCGCTACAGCGAAAAAAGTGGCGGGCTTTTCCAGGGGGAGCCCTGCTATTCTTAACCTTCAGCAAACTATATTTTACAGATATTAAGAAACAATACGTGAAGCCGTATCACAAAACTAATATATCATTGACCAAACGTCCGATAAAATTGGTCACGAGACGTCAACGCATATGTTTTATTGCATGTTATATATACCAAGCACATTGTTCAGTTTCGTCAACATTATCGGTAAAAGGCAATAGCCTGCTTGTTCTATGTTCTCACAAATCAAAGAACGTAGTGAAACCTAAGTGATGTATAATAGATTGTGCTTATTTAGGGCGACAACGTTTGTATAAGGCAGAGTTCTTAATACCATTTGGGAGCAAAATTAGAAAATGTGCATATGGCTTGTTCGTATCAACTGGAAAGCGCTGTACAAGCTAAAAAGTCTGGCACATCCGTTACTATCAGCATCAAAATAGAAATATGAGAAAAAAGCATTTCTACGTATATAACACCAGTATGACTTTTGATGCTCCATCATCGACCCTTCTCAAAAAGTTATCGACCCTAGTGGTGGCACAACGAACTTCACAATATTCTTCATTACTACGTCGCCAAATTCTAGAACGATGCGACCGGAGTGCTTACTTCTTAACATGTCGACGGACCGATACCGGGCCAAATGAGCTCGAAAAATACCAAAAGGCTAAAAAAACGTTCCTTATTATAAGCCTATCTATGGTGCCTGGAACGTGTCGCAAAATGATGCGTTTAGCGAATGCAAAAAAAAAAGTGTTTCCTTAATGTTTGTCTGATGAAAAGTATCATCCCGTCGCCGGCCGCGATAGTGCCGGTGTAACCGCAGCGGTGGTGGATATGGTGCAAACGCATGTTTTGCTGCATGTCACTGTTCAGCTTGGCATCCCACTGAAGCTTCGGCAGTCAGCACTTGGAACGCCGTGATGGACAACGACAATGGTGTTCTCCCGTGCTGTTGGGCCGGGATTTCTGGCATAAGCCAGCAGGATCGCAACATCCGACGGCCTAGCACTATGCGGCTGTTATGCCGTCATTTGCTGCCACTTCGCGTCCACCTTCGATGCATGGGTGGAATAGGACGCTCAACCCACCAGTCGGAAACGCGCTCCAGGCACCGTACTCACAATAAGGTCGAATATGGCAAAGGCTGAATAACAGCGCCGTGTCCGCGCTTGGCTAGGACTCGTATCAAGTCAGCAGCGTCGTCGGGCACGCGAAAATTGACGTGCCCTTGCCGTCGTACTGCGATGATATTTCACGGAGTAAAAGGAGGGTGCGAGACGGCTTTGTATTGCCTAGGTTGAGTTCCTCTGTTCCGAAGATTGACTTAATTAGTGTTTGCTTTGACACAGTAGATAAGAATGGTTTCCAGACTACCTCCTTTCTATTGACTGCGAAGAGCTCCTCACTCCCCCCCCCCCCCCTCACTCCCTTCCCTATATCAAATGGCATGAGAAAATATGCAACATGGCCCGATATTTTCTAGGAGGTGTTCCCTGCAATTCGGAGTAAACTAATGTAACAAAGCTTAAGAAAAACCAAGGCATAACGAGTACCGAGCTTGTCATATGTTCTCGGCAGCCGAAGAGATTTCAGAATTAACCGATAGTGACGCCGACGAACAAATGAAAACAAAAACAAGAAGTATTTGAACATAATAAGCCACGCCCTGCGTTTCACAAGCTGTCATTAACTATAGTAAACACAGCCAGAGCGGTGAAGTGTTATGTGCCATTTCTGTTTGCCCAGTATAGTTCCCCATACTTGGACATTCCGCCGCACTATAGTTCTTATGATAATCTTTTAGCTTCAGGAAAAAAAATAACTAAGCATGGTTGCAGGAAATGCGGCGCGATGTTTACCTGAGCTCTAGTCAACTTAAATTGATTACGCCAAGTCTCTAATTCTACCCAGCAGAAAATAAAGTTTCATATTTTTTTTAAAGCATCATCAAAGCAATCACACCCTTGTTCACCCTAATTGTTTTTCAGTGTCTCAAACACACCCTATAAGAATTCCTAAAGGGAAACAGATAGCGACGTCAAACACCAATAGTTGGCATCTGCATTATCACTTCTACCAATGGAAGATGACTGATTGATGCCATATTCCAAACGTCGTGCAGCGTCAGTTAAAAAAAAAAAGAAGAAGGAAACGACGTCCAGTCGCTTTCGCAAGGGATACCGCATGGCTATCAGAACATGACACCAATCGCCCTCCTGATTGATTGAACGATTTAAAGAAAGACCAGTTATTTTCGACCCGACCGCATAATCCTATAGCAGACATGCAGGAGTCTACGAGAGATCAGGTATGAGGGAGACGTAACGTTGGACTATACGTACATCCATAGCGTTCTGGTACTTGCCCAGTGCTGGGTTCAGTTCTGGATAGGGTGGGAGAACTCCACTGAACAAAGAGGTCAGAAGAGCGGCGGCAGCAATACTACCGATGAAAAGAGCTTTTGCCATGGTGGAGTCTCTCCAAAGCGGCCGTCTACGATGCTTTCCCTGGAAATGCCACAACCACGTTAGCGTTGGGCTTTATAACTAAACTTTTATCTCGAATCTATCGTGGATATTATTTGTTCGCATGACGCTCATTGACAGATACATATAAAAAAAGAAACGTTATTAACTCGAAGGACTTTTTTTTTATTTCAGAATTTCGCCATTGTTAGTTTTTGCTTTTAACTTCAGGGGTTTGCAGAACTAAGTTATAAAAAACATTCTGTAATAAGCTACCACCAAGTAATTTCCTGTGCATGCGATTCATTTTCGACGATATAAACTCTATGCAGTCGGTTTAAAAAAACAAGTACTTTGCTGGGAATTAGGGCTTAGGATTTTTTTTCTTCTTTTTTCAAGACCACCGTAGTAAGGCGGTACGTACCGCTCGTTCCCAAACAAGCCATACCTCCAGCTGGTAACTTATGAAGCTTACCCTACCGAAGAACGCAGTATATTCTTTCACTCTCTGGATTAGAGAGTTAGAAATTTAACTCGAACTGTTTGTGGAAACCTAAAATCCAGTTTGCAGAGAAACGGAAAAATTATGAACACGTGAAATCCAGATAGAACTCAGATAGATTTTCAGTTCTATATTCCAGATGGCGAAAAATGTCTACAGTCTATTTTTTTTCGTTTGGGTTGCCGCCTCCCCGATGGTGTGCGTGTCCTTCCGAAGGAAGCGGTAAGCAGTATTCGCAACTTTCACGAACTATAGGGGGCGCCACTGAAAAATCCAAAATGGCGGTCAACTGGATGATCGATGGCCACGACGGGGTGCAGTAGGACGTGTTTGCGTGGTGTTTGCTGCTGTTTCTGAGCTCGTGCTAAATAGTGGCATGGCTGAAGCTTTCGTTTTAACTTTAGAGACATTGCTAAAGCACATTGGAGGTGAAGGCGACCGTCGCATACGGTGCATCGTTGAAGGCGAAGCGGTGTTGAACGCCGGTCACCTTCTGTGTTGTGGCATCAGCGCGCACTCCGTGTCTTCGCTCACAATACAAGCGTTGTGCGTACAGACAAGCAGCCCGAAACAAAAGCCACACGAGCTGCGATGCGTGGTCTTTCAAGACGGCAAGGTAGAGGTAAGTCGTACATTTACTGTTGACCGATTCGTTATCGTAGCACCGACGCTGGAAACTTGTGCGCGTTACTAAAATAACCTAAATGAGGCATGAGAATGAACAGTGTCGCCAGTCTTATCAGTCTTGTGTGATATGCTCTAATACGCTGTATGTGCGCCATTCATAGATGTGCAAGCGCGTATATCGGCATGATGCGGTGTTCATACGAGCGTGCTCGCACGTTCCTACGACGCCGTACAAGTACCTCGTTGGGAGCTTTGCAGACGTCGATCGCACATATTTTTGTTGCTGTTACATATTTCCTGTTTGGAATTTCAGCTACAATAACAACAAATAGTCACCGTGAAAGCTTGCTCACGAGCTAGACACAAATATGTCCTACCAAATTTTATATTTGACTTAATCTGGTTCTTTTTTTGGGGGGGTGGGGGATTTCAGGCACTCTGCTCTTGCAAGGCAGGCGCATCTCAACGGTGCAAACATGCAGTTGCTCTGATGCTGTTTGTAAACCGGTGAGACCATTGTTTTAAGTTCCTTTCCTATGTTTTGCAAACACCATCTTTGCTGCTATGTGCACATTTCAGAGATATCATTGTGATATTTAGAACTGAGGCAAAAAGCAAACAAAAATATGGATTACTTCATTTCGTATTTGAGAGGTACTGGCTACGACTTAGTTATGCCTTTTGTGTTTGGCGTAAAATCTTTCAGGGCACCAAGCAGTTATGCTGTTATGGGAAACATGAATATCTTGTAAAAGGGTCAACAGGTAGATTTTTATCACTTCAGTAGTGTGGTAAGTCATGGGCATCCAGTATGCCGCCTGCTTGATTCAATGAACACAGCAGTCACTGAAACAAGTCTGTGCGAAAGCAATGGCTGGCAAAGGTGTCTGCCTATTGCAATTCTTTCTTGGGATTTTTAAGACTCACTGTACGAGGGTAATTCTTAGCATAAATGTGGTGCCTGAAATGTGTCCAACTGGTCTGTCTGCCGTATCCTCACTGTTGGTTCCTCGATTTCTGCCTGACAAGCCACTACTGGGGCATTTAGTTACCAGCAGCAATCCTTGCGGTCTCGCACGAGCACAGGTGGATGTAGGACAAGCCTGTTCCGTCGTTGGTGACCTTACATCCCGACAGTCGACACAAACAACGCAAGCAATATTGTATTTCTTTGCCAGCAGCAGTCCCGGCAATGTCACGCCAGCACACTTGGATACAGGACAAGCCTGTTCTGTTGTTGGTCGCCTTGCATCCCGACAGTCGACACAAACAACAGAAGCAATATTGGGATGTTGTGACAACAGCGACCTTTTTGCCGACAATCCTGGAACTAACTGCCAGGATTACAATGGTTGACTAAATGTCCCAATGGCTCCAGTGACGTATTATGTTGTGACTTCCAGACCGCTTGCAATGCATGGACAGTATCAGACATCGAGAATTCTGAGATGCGTCCCAGGCACTGTAATATGACAAAAAGGAACAGAGAGAGACCATAATTACTTTATTTATTTTATTCATCTGGACTATCCGTTATCTGCCAGAGACTCTGGAATTCTGCTTGTATCCGGAGCCGAGAGCTTTACAAAACGTACAAGTGAAGCCGCAGATTATGACAGGATTTACTCATCTGGTCCGTTCAGCCTAAGGTCGACTGGAAGTTGAAGAGAGACGGCAGACCACAAAATATTTATCTCGTAGAGGAGGCCTGAAGTTGCCTGGCTTCGATGTGGAGCATTCACAGTCTTGCCTAAATTCTGATGAAAAGAATGGCATGAAACATATATGAACAAATCAAAGTAAATATACACAATACTGACATGCATGCACACGAAAGCCTAAAAATGGAATAGAAGATTAACCAATCAAACAGATTTCAATGAAGTGATGTGTGTGCACAACTTAATTTTTCTTGTGTATGTTTTTCATGTGTTTTGTCAAAATATATGTAGCCCAACTACACGCCTTGCTGCACTCATCTTAATTCTCATGCTCATACTGACTTTGTTTTTAGTGTTGGGACATCAAACCTCGAGCAACTCTCTCCAACGGACCTGAAGCAAGCCTGGGGTCATTTACGGACAACGCAGTTGTACGAGCCGAAGATGTTGCAAGAGCTCTGCCACGTACACGCCGTGCCGGAGGTACAAGTGGACGACATGGTGCTGGAGGACATACGTAGCGATCTCCTTTCGTGTGCCACGGAATCTGCTCTTGCCCTTCACCTGAAAGGCAGGAAAACAAGTGAGGTCAGCAACCATGGCAAAAGTCCAGGAGGCAGCTCCGGCGCTGTAAGTGCTGCCGACACTGATTTCTTCCTCGGCATAAGTCGCAGCACCTGTGTAAAACAGTATGAACAAGTTAGTTTTCACACCGTTGCTTTTCTTGATGTTGGGCACTTTAGAATCAACAAGTTCATGTGGGAAGATCTGTCACCTCAAGAGCAGCAATTTTACGAAAAACATGTTGCCGTGACAGCTGACGAGGCAGCAGCCATTTGCCACGACACACTCTTACAAGAGGGCGGTCGTTGGCAGCGCGAGCGCAAGCTGCGCATTACTGCTAGCAGGTGTCGTGCCTACTTCACCTTTCTCCCTACGGAACACCGGTCGTGGGCAGAAAAGGTCCAGCTGATGTACTGCGAAAGCTTCCGAGGAAATAAGGCGACCCGGCATGGGAAACGGTGCGAAGGACCTGCCTTGGAAAAATACACAGAAATGACGGGAAGCAGTGTCCGAAGGTTCGGACTCGTTGTAAACCCACTTGTACCCTGGCTCGGGTGCAGCCCTGATGGTGTTGCAGAGGCAAATGGTGTGCCGTCGATCCTGGTCGAGGTTAAAAGCCCTGAGGCGGGAATAAACACCTCAGCAAGGGAGCTGATCGCTGCGAAGAAGGTTGGGTACATGATCAAAGAGGGCGAGAATTACCACCTGCGAAAAAAACATTCACATTACTCTCAGTGCCAGCTGGGAATGTTTTTGTTAGATCTCAAGATGGCTCACCTTATGGTGTACTGTGAGAAGGGCTCCCTAATCATCCCTGTGAGCCGAGATAGTGCACACATTGACGAGCTCGTTAGGAAGCTTGAATTTGTATACTTCAAACATATTTTATGCAAGCTAGCGCAGTAAGTCTTGCTGTGAACATTGGTGCTGTCGGCTTGCTTTACATGTTTTTAGTGCACAAATTCTCCCTAGTCTGACATCTGTTTTGCATGTACTCTGTCTTGGTGGCTTTTAGAACCTGAATCTGTTTTTTATGCTCCTGTGCAATACTGATGTCTTTCACCTAAACATGCCAATGCAGATAATGTGATAGTTTCGTATGCCTTGTTTTCGTTTCAGTGTGCAATTTTATTTTCATATGTACATTATATCATTTTCATCTCATGCTCCACACAATGTCCAGAGGTTTCTGGCCACAGCAAATAAAGTATGATTATTATTTCTCATGTGTTTATTGTAGAAAACAGGCTGGTTAGGACAGTTTTGACTAATTGTGTTAAAGGGGCCCTGCAATCCTATTTAAGCGTCTACCTTTTTTGCGGTTTCCACGTCTCTTGGGGTTCGGGCAAGCCAGCAGGCACGGAGAGAGTAACTAAACATCAGTGCATCATATTTTAACTAAACGACGCGGAAACCTCTTCCACCTACGGGGGCGACCCGCGGTGCCGAAAGTGTGCGATATGCGACGTCTTTGGTCCTGGGCTTACTACTAGTCAGAGCTGCTAAAAGCGTCTTTTTAGTCGAAATACAAAATATAAGTGGCACGAACCGTCTCAATTATACATGAAAGTAGTTTTTGTTCAGTATATTAGATCAGAAAAGAAACAAATGCTGTTCAGAAAGCATGGAAACAAGGAATGACCCGTCAGCAGAACCGCCACCAAGCAAAGGAAGAGGCGGCGCATACTAGAAAGGGGTAGTGAGATCAGGCGCCGACGAGCGGCGAGCGTAGAAAGGTCCTGGATGTACGCCACTGCGCTGCGGTCGTATGGGCTAGAGGATCCTACCAGATTCCGACCGCCTTCGGCGAGCAGGATTGGCTTGCGGTTCGGCCGTTTGGTGGTATGGCAGCAATGGCCCCTGTTGTGAACTGATCTTTACCCCGTGTTTGCTGTCGTTTGTGGTCAATGAAGTGCCATGCCGAATTGCTGTTTTGTCGAACAGCAAATTCAATGCGAGCCGCCCTGGCTGCCCGCTTCATCCCGCCTATCCAGCACATGCTTTAGTGGCACCCTCTCGAGCTGTCGACACAGAGTGCAGCAGCCGTGAGCGCTCGCTGGGCTCACTATGCGTCCTCTAGTTCACGGTCACTCAAGCACCTACGCAAACCTATACAGTGAAAGAATTGGTGCGGAGAGATTAACAATGCCCGCAACCACGGTCATTGCGTTATCAACTGCTTGCAGCATTTCCCAAGAAATTGGCCCCTTAAATACCTTGAAAACCTTCAGGCGCTGTATTGCCCTCTCCACGTGAACCCTTGCTTGGGCGACACTCACAGTCCTTTTCGCATCAGCAGTTGAAAACTCCTGTTGCTGGCGAAGAAATAATGGCGGCACGACGCCTAGGCCTAGCTTATTGCATTCTGCGTCGACGCGAAACCCTTTGTCCACCATTACATCATCTCTGAACTGCTCTATAAGCGACTTTTAAACACCGGCCTTGTCGGAAGCTCTTCCACCGAAACCCTTAATAGCAAATGTAATTAGGCCAGCTGGGGACACTCCAATCAAAAATTCTGCAGTGTGGCGGCCCCTGTAATACGAGTATGTAAAAAGTCGGCACGCCAGACAGTGCGATTTTTCAATTTCTACCTCTGTGCAATCGAGTACAATTTGCACCTCGCCATAGTCCTTAAAAATTATTCTTGTTCTCTTCTCTGGGTGGCCAGTACATTGCACTTTTCAGCACAGCAGCTACAGAAGGTAGCGTCCCGGAAAATTATCTGTGCACCGTGGCCTCACTCGCATTAAACAGAGTGCCTATGCATTTAAAAGAACGAAAAGTTTTGAGCCTCACAAGCACAACAACACGCTCATGTACAGACGCGTCGGCACGCATAGTGTTGAACCGCTCTGCATTTCTAGATATACTTTGTAGAAGCTGGATTGACTCCACTCCCATGAACGCTTCGACTGCTGCATTAGTCTTCAGGAAACTGACAAGTGTCTTTCTTTTGTACCAAGGATCTTGTGTCCACTTGGACACTCCAATCTCTCGTTTGTCTGTTAAGAACACTACCGTTTGCCAAGATTTCACAAGTTTCTGCGACATGTCGTGTTGGCTTGCGGATGCAAGTGATTTTGTGAGTGACGAGACAAGCGACGGCAAAACGCCTCGCTGTCGCTCGGTCAGTCGCGCGGCGAGGCAAGCCGCATGGAAGCGACGGGAGCAAGCGACCTAGGCGGTGAGCTACGTTTTCTAGAAATCCAGAAACCGAGCGACGCAACGGGCGACAGTGAGAAATCTTCGTCGCTCATCGCAGACTCTCGTCGTTGTCGCCGTCGCTCGCTAAATTGCTTACATGCGGTTCGGAGATGTCACGTTGACTTGCGGCCGTAGCTTGACCTCACGTAAGGATCAAATGATTAACAAAACTTGCCAGTCGTGCTCCAAAAGTAGTCTTTTTTCGTAAAATGGAAGCTGCATACTTGCATCGTAGCTGTGATGGGCTTTCCAATCCGCAACTTTATTATCCAGGCCTTCTTCAACCGTTTGTCGAGTGTAAATAAGTGAAGGCTGATTTTTCCCTTCACTGCGCGGTTTGTACATTGGGGAACGCAGCACATACGATTGCTGTAATATTTTAATCTAATTTTGTTTGCAGCCATCGTAGAAATAAACTGGAGAAGTCCAGAAATGCGCAAGCTCACAACAGACAGCACGAAAACCGACGAGTGAGATGAGCCAGGCGAGCGCGATCATCCAGTAGCTAGGGCAAGCGTTCGCGGCGCCACCGTCGCAGAAATTTGCGAATTGTCTCAAAGATTTGTCCACGCTAGGAACACCACGTGCGCAGACTTCTGCCGCAGTTGTGCAGACGTCGTTGAATGTCGTAGACACCAAAACGTAGTAAAGAGTGCGGTGCAGACGACACTTACGCCTGGCACACGCCCGCCCCAATCCCGCCTGTCATTGCGTAGAGGATCACGTGACATCTCGTACCACTAGAGTGCCATGCACTTGGCGGTCCGAGGCCAACGTTGCCGGACGGAGCCTAAGTTTCGGTTTCTGCTCGTGTTTAAAATTAATTTAAAAATATGTATCCGATTTTTCGAGAAGCAAACGACGTAGCGTCTTTTACTAGGGCTTTTTAATGCGAAATCACCGATTATGCCGAAATATTCGGAATTGAGCGGAGTTGCCCTTTAAGTTTCCCTGCCATGTGGTAGTTTAAAAGGCCGGTGACTGTCATTTAGAGCAAGTAGAGTTAATAGTAATATGTTTTCTCATTGTTACGTGTCAGTATGCATAAAACACCAATGTGCAATTTGTTTATTGTTTCTCCAATAAATACATATATTCAATCTGACTTTATTTTTCAGAGCATTGTCCGCAATCAATAAACAAATGTATCTGCATGCTGCTATCTGGGCACATAAAAGTGGTAAAACAACTTTCAAAACAAAGAGTGGTTCAATTGGATTTTACCTGAAGAAAAAAATAATAGCTTCTTTGAACTGAAGGTAGACTCGATAATTCAAACTCGAAGGGACCTCAGGGGTTTTGTTTGGATTATCAGCTCTCATAAATATGGCACCAAAAAGCAAAATTACATTAAAAAAAAAAAAGTTGTGATTGGTTAACTGCTTTATTGCTGCATGTGACTTTAAAACAAAGTTTAAGACCCAAGAGCAGCCAGTTTATTTATGGGAGTCATCTGTTGGGGTCATGGATTTGTGGCAAGCGATTGGCTTTATTATCGACTGTTAAAGCGATTAAAGAACGCAAATGTTCAGCCAGTGGCAGAAAAGGCAGCAGACATTTCTCGGTGCAGACAAGCAAATAGTATGAATGAACTGAATGGTGTAGTTTGAATTAAACAACTTTTAAATACATTAAAAACATACCGAAACAACCAAACATTTAATTTTTGTTTGAATTAGCCAGAATTTTTAAATATTAGCATTTGAATTATCAAGAGACTACTGTAAAGGTTCATGAGGAAACTATCCAAATTTGTTCTCCGACAGAATGGGTGCAGAGAGATTTACGATAGCTGCAACCACGGTGATTGCATGATCAGCTACTTTAAGCATTTCCCAAGGAATTGGCCCCTTAAAAATCTTAAAAACTTTTATGCGCTGTATCGCTCGCTCAACATGGACTCTAGCCTGTGCAACACTAACAGTCTTCATTGCATCAGCGACAGAGAATTGCTGTTGCTGGCGCAGAAACGGCGGCTGCACAACGCCTAGCCCCAGTTTGTTGCACTCTGCGTCAACATGAAATCCCTTGTCGACCATGACATCATCTCTGAATGGCTGCAGCCTACTTAGGACAAGAGACCTCTCCACGCAGGCTTTGTCGGATGCCCTCCCTCCAAAACCCTGGCTGACGAATGTAATTAGGCCAGCTGGTGACACTCCAATTAAAAACTTCACTGTGTGGCGTCCCTTATAATAAGAGTAGGTGAACAACCGGCATGCCAGGCAGTGAGATTTTTCAATTTCCACCTCTGTGCAGTCTAACACAACTCTCACCTCGCAATAGTCTCGAAAACAGTGGGGGATGTTCTTTTCGATTTCTCCCTTGGTGGGCCAATATATGGCACTTTTGAGAACAGCAGCTAGGGTAGGCAATGTGCCATAAAAATACCTGTGTACAGTGGCCTCGCTTACTCGAAATAAAGTGCCGATGCACTTGAACGAAAGGAACGTTTTCAGCCTTACTAGGACGAGCATGACACGCTCGTGTACGGATAGCTCGGTATTCATTGTGTCAAACCGCTGTACATTCTTTGATATTCTTTGCAGCAGCTGGATAGATTCTACACCAGTGAAGGCTTTTACTTCTCCATCTGTCTTGAGAAGATTGTCAAGCGTCTCTCTCTTTCGCACTAAGGACCTTGTGTCCACTTGGGTACTCTCGTCCTTGGTTTGCAGAGGACCACCTCCTTGTAGTATCAGGAGGGCTCTTGCTACAGTCAGCTCATCATCCACATGGTGATGTCTGCCGTTGTCTGCAGCCAGGCCTTCTTCAGCACAAGTCTCTCCAGTCACCTGAAAAATGTGATTAATTTAAGCTTTGCGGTATACTTCTGAGAAAATAGACAATTTCCAATTCTCGCTGCATATTGAAGTGCAAAAGTGTCTGCCCCTTATAATCAGTTTATGTAGACTATCTGTTCATCGGTTTCTTACTTAGGCTTGGCACATGCAGTCTGTAGGTACCACCATAGCGGCCATGACCTAGACAATGCCGTATGCCTTCTGGGAACTACTCGTTTCCCTCCGTGGTGAGCCTGCCACCGGTACAGCTTTCAAGAACAATCGTAAATGCGTCCCACATTCGTGCGGACGTGATACCAACAGCCATGGATGTGTATTTTCTGCACGCTACAGGAGCCAGTTTCAAATACTAGCTTGGCTGCCGCAATAGGCAGACTCACGGGGACCGGACAAGCCACAAAAAGAAGCCGAGAGCTTGAGGGAGCAATGCACTCGAAAGCTCCCTGCCAGTGTTTGGGCTGGGCTTATGTAGCCTACGTGAAATGGACGTATCCATGGCTGTCACTATCGGGTTCACCCGAAAGCGGGCGCACCCAGGATCGTTCGCGGAAGCTGTGCCGGACACCCAATTTCCCTCCAAGCACTCTCGGAACTACTCGGCTCAGCTGAGTGTCATGGCAAAGAATTCAGCTTGAAGCATCTCCATGGTAACAAAAGGATTACTAGTCTTTAAACATGTGGATCCTTGTTCTGGCTGTGAATTAAGATTAACCTTGCTCACATTTTGTCTAGTTGATTCTGGAACAGCTAACACGCGACGAAAAACCCCACGTCAAAGAGAAGAGACACTGGCCTCCTGCTTTGCCAAGGAGACGCTGCAGAAAAAAGAGCTGGCAATGCCCCCTACGATTTGTTTATCGGTATTGAGTAGTATAAACTTGCACATTTGAACTTGTCGAGCATAAAAACGTTAGCCGGCGGTATGAATTCCCCCCTTGCAATGGTCATACGGCACGGAATTGAGCCAATTTCTAACGTGGACAGCTTCTTTCGTTCCTCAACAGTTTGCAAAGAGAATAAACTCAGCGATGTAAGCTACGTCTATGCTGCTGTACAAGATGCCGCAAATTTAGTGTCGGTGCGGTCACTTGCAAAAACAGCGAGCTTCTTATGATGTCGAGCTTGAGGCGAGCATTACGAGATACGTTAACGCGTCTTGTAAGCAAAAACTCCCAAACTGCAGCCCCTCCGTACAGCCAATGCTACCAGCTGATGAAAAATTTTGGAAATGCGCGAAACCAGATGCAAGCGAAGAAGCGTCGGCCGAGCACATCGTTCTTACTACTACTATTACTACTACTACTATAATAATAATAACATTCATAATCTTTATTTGCAGAGAAATTTTACCCCGAGTTGCTCGGCTAGAACAGAAAGGCGAAAGCCCGTACGCTCGTGCATCTGCTAGCCAACCACCCAGGGCAGGAGAAAAACAAAGGACTGCACGCTGCCTCTCAAGCTCTTGCAGCTTTTCTTGCATATCTGCGATGTAAGCTTTGTGCAACATAAGATCAGCAGTAGGAGCTCCGCCTTCAGCAGATGCTTGTTGCTTTCTGTGGTGCGTTAGTATGAGCACATGCTTAATGTAGTTCAATCGAATCGCTTCACTGGTCGTTCGTAAAATTCACATGATGCACATTTCGATGCTAACCACGGCCGCTTGATAGAGTGGCCGTGCCATAGCAGAAAAACATGGAGGGCGTGAAAAACGAGTCTCGCTTTCTCAGTGTGCTGAGCGGCTAGTATCGTTCCCTCCGCTCGACTTCGCACGGCTTTGAAGGGAATCTGTAGAAGTTCACTCAGGGGTTAATACATTCCCGATTTTGACAGTTGACAACGCAACAGTACTGTCGACGGCAACGTTTCGAACGCATCGAGGCCACACTGCTGGCTCCCGGTTTCGACATGCTTGAACGAAGAAAAAATCGCTCGTTTGCAGCAACTTTGGGTCTTCGGGGTAACATTGTGTGGTGACAGCTGCGGGTGACCTATTTTGAGTCGTGACCACGCTAACACACAAATTACAGCAGCATGCAGAGGTAAACAGCAGCTTGAACAGGTTTGTTATTGTGCGGGGCCATGGATCTTGTACTACTCAGACACTCTACTGCCCGCCACCAAAGGGCGCCACAATACATTCAAAGCTTTGGCGCAGGAGGCCTATTATGTATGCCCTGATCCACCACTAAAAAGAACAAAACCTACAGCAGAGTGCACAACTTCTGCCCGTGGCGAACTTGGCTGGGTCTCAGCTGTCTCGTTTGCACCAGACGAACATGATGGCAATCCTGTAAGATAGTAAAATCTGTCTCATGAGAAAATCAATATATTGGTGTAGCTCGTCAAAACGAGGCAACTACGTGAGACAATATGGTCCCGGTGTGACATTTAATTTGGATGTAACAGACGCTTATTAAATTTTACTTTACATCCAACACATTATTTTTATTTACTCAGTACTCACACCACCTTTTGGCATAGAGTGTGTGTGGTGGGGCAAAACAAACAAAAATATATATTCCAGTCTCTTTTGAGGCATTTATTTACTTTTTAGTAGGATGTATCTCTCATTTTCTCACCCACTTAAAGGGAGGGTCACTGCTTTCATTGCAGGGAAGATTGCAGATGAGCAATAGTATATACCTGCTTCTAATTTTCCGTTCAAAGGACGTACCAGATGCACTCCCAGGCGTTCGGTCACATCGTTGACTTCTCGGCATCGGGGCTGGCCTGTCATGCACCCTCACGGGCAGGCGCAGAGATGGCATGGTGCCTTGCTTGAGCCTTTTTAAGGTCGGGGTCCACACGTTTGGATCTGATTGCGGGACGACGTCAATGCACAGAAGCGCATGTTTACATTTCAGTTCAACCCGGTAGGGCGACAATGTCGCGTTGACTTACGGCCACACGGCAACGTAAAGTAGGGATCAAATGTGTAAAAAAACTCACCGATTGTGTTCCACAAGAAGTCTTCGTTAGCGAAATGGGCGCTACATACCCGCATCGTAGGCGTGACAGCCTTGCCTATTCGTAACTTAATCACCCAGGCCTTTTTTATCCGCTGGTCGAGTGGGAACGAGTGTAGGCTGATCTTTCCTTCCACCGTGCGGTTTCAACATTGCGGAACACAGCACATGCGATTACTGCGATACTTCACTTTACTCCGGGTCGATGCCATTAAAAATTTGCGCAGAAACGCCTGCAAAAACACGACTTTAAAACAGCACGGACAGCACGGGTACGAAGAAGCGAAAAACGATCATCCAGGAAGAAGAGCGAACGTTCGCCGCGGTGCGGCGCCACCGTCTGTGAAAGTTGCGAATAGAAGAGGCAAGCATCGAGTGCTTGCGCGACCCGTAAGCAACACCACGACCAATAAAATAACTTGGCGGACTCGTTTTGGTCAAAAAATGTTACTTGGCGTTGCACGAATGGTAAAATATAAACGTTAATAAGCGTGACTACGTTCTACAATTTCTACTACGCCTCTTCATAATTAGTTTTAAATCGCAACAAAAAGTAGTAGTAATACAACGACCAGTGTAAGAAAACAAATCTTCGCGGGTACCCAAAATACACCAGGGAACAAATATTTTAACTGCTGCGAATGCTTTCGAGTGAAGTTTTCGACGCTGCCGTAAATATGGTGAAAAAATCAGAAGCTCGCTCCGTCAACACTTGAACTGAAAGCGAACATCTCTAACAAATTCACTGATGTGCTATTGTTTCTTATTTCTATTAAAGAAAAGTTTCGCTTGCTCTAGGCAATATCTGGTAAACCTTCAAGTGTTCCTGGCCCTGTATTGCACTGTGATTCACTCTTTGAGGCACACCAGATAGCGATAATAGAATATATCTGAAACCAGAAGCACCAAAGGACTATCCCGTATCTGGCATGTATTATCACGCATATCATCACCCTAGCAAAAATCAAAGGGCGGCCTGATGCCATATGTCTTCGAGGATAATTGTTAGGAGTGCATTAACGTAAAGGCCTTTGGCGAATCACAATCGCCACATGCATTAAATACATGGCATGGGGCATGAAACCAGTAAGATGCCACGCTCACCGTTCTGCTGTTCTAAGAAATAAACTGTCTGGGTGTTTGTAAAAATCGCAAACTTGCACAAGTGATTAATAAGCCCACACGAGGAAATACTATTTTCGATTTAGTTCTGACAACTATTACGGAATCTGTTATCTCCACACCCTTCCTGAGTGGTTTCATCTGTTACCAAAAATAAGCATCGGAATAAATATTCAAATAGAAAACAAACAAGCGACCTCTAAAGTAACTCGCGATTATAACAAAGCCGACTCTTCTTCAATTAAAAAAATAAAAACATTTTGTTTTTCTTTTTCTGGCCGATACTGATGGATTTCAAGATTAAACAGTCGAGCAAAATTGGCAACTATTCAAGACAAAACTTTCAGAACTTATTTGGAGCTTCGCTCCACTCGTTCTTATCTGATTCGTTCGTAATCAACTATGGTTCACAAAAACAAATAAAACTCTAACAAAAAAACAAACAAAAATCAGAGTCTAGTGTTTCTTGCTGAAATAGCCAATGCTTCGGTGCCCTGAACAAGGTATAGAATTTCTGAGAAAGATTTCAATTTCTTCATTGTCGAAGCCAAGGAAACGTACTTTAACTGCGATCAGCTTGCCTTTCTTCTAAATAATAACCATAAGAAATTAAAAAAAGTAATGTTACCGCAGGATTCTCATTCAGCAATTTCTTTCTGAGGTGAGGCAGGAAACCCTGTTCCCGACGCCCTTTGACTGACAAATTTTTAATTTACTTTTTACCTGATTATTCAACAAGGAAGACCACTTTAATATTTCCACAGTAACAGACATCGGCTATGCATTCATGGCAGCTGTTTTAATCACTAGTTCCGAGATCAATAGATTTATAACTAATCTTGATATCTCGACGTCACCCGGTGCCAATAGCCTTTGTTCTAAAATTTCACAATATAACAGTGAAATATTTTTAGATATATTATGCCTGATATTAAAACAGTTCCTATAATCTTGTTCTATCCCCACAGTCTAGAAACATGCTCCAGTTTCTGGAAAGTTGTCCCAGTTTGTAGATCTCACAATAAATCATTTGCAGCCAACTATCGCCCCATGTCCCTCACCGCTGTTGTGTCGAAAGTGTCAGAACGAATCGCATTTTCTCATTCCGTGAGTCATCTTGAAGATAACAACTTGTTTAACATATATAAATACGGTTTAAGCAAGATGTACGCATGCGAAGCACAGCTGATAGACTGTCCTACGATATTCACATTATTATCTAAAACTTCGTAATTTAATTTTTTTTTTCTTTTGACTTCTCCAGAACGCTTTATCGCGTTCCCCGTGCTCGCCTAATATCCAAACGTTCCGATCTTAGTTTAGATTCCTTAAAACATTCATGAACCCGTAATTTTGTAACCCTCAGACAGCAATTTAAAGCTATTAGTGACTTTTAATCTACTATCAAATATATAGGTTCCCGAGTCCCACAGGGTGCAGTTCTCTGCCTCCTTCTCCTCCCTATTTACATTGACGATTTTGATACAGATATCATTTAACATGCAACTTCTTGCTGAAGATTGTGTTTTATACAGAAAAATTAAGAGACCGCCGAAAATGAAATTCTTCAGAGTAATAAATAGGAGCTTTTTGACTGGTGTACCAAATCACAAATGCAACTAAGCTACTTTACGTGTAACTTGCTTTCATTCACCAGAAAACACTCCGTTATTCATTTTCATATTTTTTTTAAACAATATGCCTTTCGCATCTGTTTCCTCGTAAAAATGCCTTAGCATGCACCTTAGCCTCATACTCTCCTGGCTTATTCATATTAAAATTATCACCGCTGAATCACCACGTACGCTCGGTTACCTAAAACAAAACTTAAATATGAAAGACATCTACAAATCTATGTAATGCGAAATTGGAGCGTAGCTCTTGAGGAGGAGGAGGGGAGGGTACGAATGGAGGGTATGCCCTTCCTCTACCTCCGTACTCTCTCCTCATACCCCTCCCCCTGCCTTTCCCTTCTTCTTCCAATTCAGTTTCCCCGCTCAATTCAGTGGAGAAAATGGCGTCACATGACTTGGTGTTACGGAACCTATGAACAAATACAGGTTTTCCGCTAGATTTAGCGGGAAAATTGACGTCACGTGACCTCAACACCAATTCAATTCCCCGCTAAATTTAGCGAAGAACTAAATTGATGTTGAGGTCACGTGATGTTAATTTTCTCACTAAATTTAGCGCGGTTACGCCGACGCCGCGAAACACGGAAACGGGCGCCTGAGAGTGCTCTAAGAGCCGCATCTGCACATCTACGCAAACTTGCTTACACTTCTTATGTAAGCCCGAACCTCATACATGCTTCACCTCTTCTGCACCCCCTCAGAAGTAGCTAATTAATCATTAGGCAAAGTTACACTATTCATTCCCTAGGAGCCCGTCGACTGATCTCAATTCTGTATTTACTTAATCGGTTAGATAACACCCCAGCTCAATCCGGCGCATAACTTTTAGAAGAGTATGGTAAAATATCCCATCATCAAAATAACAGGTAGGTTCTAAACGTATTTTCGGCTCAACATCTGATTTTAATAACCCAACCCTTCCTCTTGCAATAGACACTGCAATGGTCTTCCCGAAACCGTCGTCACCATATCAGATCCTAAAACATTCCGTAGTGTTCAATGTAATCATTTTTGCCACCATGATAGCGCTCCGCAAACTGACTATTTTATATATGGCAACATGCTGCTATTTTTGTTTTATCAGCTTGTGACTCAGTGGCTGAGTTCCATGCGCTTGTGGATTAGTCAAGTCTTTGAACCAGTCAAAGCGTGCTTTGTACTTAGTGTTAATAAGGTTAAAATCGGCTTGTCATAATTTGAGGCTTGATAATTTTATGTAAAATTCATTGGAATGCCCGTTTTATTCTACTGTGGCGTTTTACTTAAAATATATTTTGTTGTTACCCCTCTCGTGTAATGTCCCTGAACGGGTTTTGAGGAATTGTAAATACATAAATTATTAATTAATGTAAAGGCGTTTAGTGCATTCCTATCTTGATATATATTGAAAAGAAAAAAATAATCTATCATACTCCACGATAATCTGAAAGGAAATATATTTTCGGAAATTGTCAACTGCCTTCATACCACTTGCTTTCGGTTGATCTGTTCCACAAACCACCACAGCTGCAGCACCAGACATCGAAGGCGGCCTCGCTTTCTAAAAAATATATACCCACGGACGCACGTGTGCGCAGTCAGGGAAAAATAGCGAATGAAAAGGAAACGTTGTGATTTTGCGCACTGGAGTGGAGGCGTGTTTATTTGGCATGGGACTGAACAGCCATACCCCTACCGGATCAATTCATCTCTAGGACAACAAACAAAATCACTTTGTTTCTGCCGCTGCGTTTTACCGACGCAACTGAAAGCCACATCATCGTATGGAAACTAACTTGGGATCATTTTAAACAGGAGTGCCAGCCAAATGCTGATGCACCCCTTGGTGTGCAATCTGTGCCCAACGCGCAATCTAGCTAGATGTTGCTAAACATCTAATATACATGCCTATAATCGTGAAGGTAAGAAGCTTCTGGAAATGACATTACCCTGGCTTCACCTCTGGTGGCGTCATGTCGCCTCTAGATGCTCCTTACCCCCGTGTATATAGTGTTGGGTAAACATTCATCTGGGTGAACAACAAGATGCCAAAGGCGCTCCTATAGTTGCAGCTTCTCGCTCATAAACCTTTTTGTCGCATATCATCCAGGCTCAAAAAGGTTATCCACTGGGCCGTGAACGCAAGCACAACGTCTCACATCCCTCAGAAGAGAGCTATTGCGCACGCTCCTAGCGGTGTTCCACAGCCCAGCAGACAAAGATGGCAGCGCCCAGAAGGCGATCATTGGAATGTCTGTAGGGCGCGCTTTGTCCAGCCGGTTTGCCACGCGGCTCGGTGTTTTCCCAAAACAAGTCCCGTGACTTGGATTCCCTATGTCGCACTTCGAGGGACACAAATATGACACGATTTCTGCATC